GGAGGGAGAGAGAGTGAAAGGAAGGAAAGAGAAAGCATTAATATCCCAAGTTATCCCTGAAAGTTTATCGGGTTCGATTGCCTCGGTCGTCTCCCTCTGTCCTTTCTCCGGAACGAGCACTAATTGCAAAACTGGAAATGAAAAATGATGTACGAGTGGCAGAGGGAACATATTTCGTTGGTAGAAAATTCTTGGACTTCCCCATCTCCGTCCTCGTATCTCCGCCTTTTGCCGAAGGCTCAGTCGACGAACTCTTCTCCCCTTGATCTTTGCGGAGATTTAAGTTTTAATCATAGATCGTAACGTCTACAAAAAAAAAAACTAAATAAATAAATATTTGAACATTAGCAACAACTTATTCTTTTATTCTTATTAAGGTTTAATTTATTTTCCTTAATAAGTCTTCTCTTAGAAGCGACAGACATTGACATACGCACAATCCGATAATACGTAGTCTAGATCATGATCTACGATTTAAATTGTAGATTATTAATATTCAACAGACATATTTAAGAACGGCTCGAATAGAATTCATAACGTAATTTTAATTTCACTTCGTATAAATGTCGCAAGACATCGCTTATGTTCAGGTTGTTACTTTCCCTTTTATCATTTTATCTTTACGCAATACTGTCACTTTTGTATACTTATAAAAGTTTTCTATACCTATAGAATGTGTGAGTAATGCGACTTGATGGTAGAAATTTAAAACAAGATAATATTTGTATGCAATAAAAGAGGAAACGTACAAAAAATTCTTTCGCTTGAATAAACCTCGTTAAGAGCTTAATTCTTCAGCTGGGATACGCCATGCTAATTAATAATATTAAAAATCATTTATATACATAAAAGATTTTCCATTATTGGCTAGATTTATTATTCCCATAAGGGATATTTTATTATTCCCATAAAATAATAATAATCATAGATAAATTCTTTGCCAAAAGTATTAATCGATTAATCATCAAAAATTTTACTCGCTTTCATCGCAAGTATCTCAATAATTATTACCGAACACATGTTCACTGTCTGATTGTTGATCCTTTCACAGCTAAAGAATTAACACTTGTTTCAGTCATGTTGAACTCGTCGAACCGAATGATCGTGCTGCTCGTCATGATTTTCGTCGTTCTCTGCTTGACGACATCTGTAACTGATGCCGAGCGAAATATCGGTAAGCAAATTTCTATATCATAGTTACATCACTAATTGAGAATCGTTGCCAACATGTTACATTTACATCCCTTTAGTCTGTACAAACCGGCTTTGTACAGGTGTCTGCCTTAGAAATTGCGCTCAATGCGAAAAGATGTACGACAAGTACTTCATGGGGCAGAAGTGCGCGGATTTTTGCGTAAAGTACAAGGGAAAGCTTATTCCAGATTGCGAGGACGAGATTTCCATTCGTCCTTTCCTTCAAACGCCCGAGAATGACTATTAATCCTCGCTAGAGGAACGCTCTTCGACTCTTTCATTTTCATTCTCGCGTTATTAAGCCAAGCCACGCGCAAATTGTATACCGTATAGAAAAAAAATGCGAATTTGGATCTGAATTTATTTATGCCACGCGCTAGAATTTGTTTGTTAGACGATAATGTGTGTGCAATTTATTATTATAAAAGTTGTGAAGATGCATCGCTATATAGTCGTGACTATATAATAGTTCAAAAATATAAAAGTATATGAATGAATTACAAGACGGATCCTTCGACACTGCAACCCACACAGCGGAAATGTTCAAGATCACATCACAGAGATATCCTAAAAATATCGTGAACTTTAGAATATATATGATATATTTTTGTGATATATTTTAGATATTTCTGCTGTGAAGAAGCTGTCGTCTATATATTTTAACGTTCATATTATAACAACAAACAAAAAAAATTGCACAGAGACATCGATTAAATTTAGATAATTTATACACCCTGCCAAGTGATACCAATATCTGATTAATATATCTGATCCAAAACTGGATAATAAAGATATGTATATGTATATGATATTTATAAAGATGTGTATCTTTATACATGTAAAATATTTTAAATTAGTACATAAATTATATTACATATTATTTATTTAAAAAATGTTCAATTACTTAGACAAGAAAAGCTGACTTTTGTTCGAAAAATTGCGTGTAGGGCAATCAAAATCAGAGTTTAAATTAGAAAGTTTGGACACAATCACATCGTAAAACGATTGAAAAACTTCGATATATATAATCAATTATTGGTAACATAGAAAGATAACATATATTTAACACATTCGCCGCAAGTGTATTTTAAATAATTTTTCGGAAATGAGGATTAACGTCAAATTATTTTCGTAGAAATAAGACGATTAAAAAGTTATGATTTCGAACAGAAGTGTAAATCTTTCGTATCAACTTGAATTTAATTAAATGTAGAATTTTTTATGTAACTACGATTCGAGAATATTGTGTTTACGACGAAATGAGAAAGATGTCAAGATAGTCGATTATAGAATAATATACCTGAATGATGATAATATATCAGATGCGCTTGCGAAAGGAAAATAGAGGATTTGAAATTTTTATTCAATTTTTATTATTTATAAGTCTCGAAATATTCAGATAAACTTATATTAATTTATATTTCAAATCATTTTTAAGACAATGGCGTAATGTAAAAAGTGAATATAAGAATGAAAAATATAAATAAAAAATCAGTCTAGTCATTCAAACTGTTTTGATGAAAATCAAACATAAATGTTTATTATAATTTATTTCTTTATTATACGAGATAAATGAAGGTATTGATAAGAAAAATATGATTGATTATTTTATGAATTTATAAATCAAGAACTAAACTAATGAGATTTTTGGAACACTATAACGATATTTGTGATGAACATCGTGCACCTGCACGTACAAAAATAGATATAATTATCATATGCGATATGAAATTATTATTTATACATGACATTAAAGGAACATATATAACTGAATGAAGATAAAAATAAAGCTTTACTTACAAGCATGTGTAAAATTGAAAGATGATAAATAAATATGTATTGTACTTGTATCTCAATAAAGTGTATTTCTTTCATTGCAAATCCACGAATAATTAATTATTTCAAAAGTACCTTTATTGTGGCGTGGGTGGAGTCACGTAACATTCTGGAATCGTTGATAGGGCCTGCTTCGATTCCAACTGTTGAACCTAATAAGATTATAACAATTATGAAATTAAATCATAAATGATTTCTCGATTTTATCTTTCCAATAACTTGATCCAATTGCTTGATTCTTACGCGTTGCCGTAGCGTTTTCTCATTTATAGCGGCTCGTGTCAACAATTGCTTCATTTTATCTAGAAGCTCGGATTTGTAAATTAACTGTTGCTTTAAGATTCGAAAATCTCCACTGTCATCTTCCTTTTGAGCTTTCTCTAACATAGCTACTCTTTGTTCAGCTAGTCGTAAATCTGCCTCCAAGCTCACTACACGTTTCTGAGATTCCTCATATTGTCTTTGGAGTAAAGTACCTCCTTCGATGATATTTGTCTTTCCCTATATAATGTATATAATATATAGAAAAACACAAATATATGTATAATTATATATGTATAATTTTAAAGAAAATATATCATTTACTTGATTAATTAAGAAATGATTCTTCTTGGAATTAAATTTCAGTCTTTTATTCTCTGCCTGAAGTTTTTCGATAATTCGTTTTAATGTAAATATTGTTTTCTCCATTTCAAAAATAGATTTTTTGTTTGATTCTGGCAGTTCTTTTTCTGAAGATCTAGGAGTGGAATCAGAAGATTTTTCAGCTTTTAATAATTGTATATATCTGTAATAATAACAATATAATAACATTAATTGTATTTAGCATTGTCTACACATCCCACGACACGTGAAAATATATAACGTAAATATACTTTTCTAAATGTTCGACTTTTTCTCGCAATCCCGGAGTATCTGAATTCGCTCTTTCCAATTGAAGTCGCAATTCAAAGTTTTCACTTTCTAACTTAAGATTTGCCTTTTCGAGAGCATCTCGAGCCATTTCCAATTTCTCAAACTGATTAATTACACATGTATTACCCTGTAAAATGGCATTAGATAAAATGTGAAAAAAATCATGCACTTATCGTAAAAATAAAATATAATAAATATATTAACCTGAGAAACTGCTTCTAAAGCTACATTATGTCGTTTTAATTCTGCTATTTCTAACATCAAGTGTTCGTTGCTTTCTTTTTCTAAACGATCAGTTAATTCTTTAATGCGTTCTCTTAATATCCGACATTCTTTCTCCAGTTCGTCCATCGCGTTATGCTGAATATTTGAAATAGGTCTTCCTGATGAAGTACTAGGTACATCACTTTCAAGTTTAAGTTTACTTCTCAAATGCCATTTTTCTCGTTCCATAGACGAAACGACAGCTCGAAGCTTTTCATAATTTGCAAGCAATTTTTCATATTCATCAGTTTTTATTTTAAGCTTTTCTTTTAACTTCTCTGCTGTCTGCTGCCATTTTTTCTGTTTCTCCCACAACGAAAGTTCTTCCGCAGTCTATTAAAAGAAGGAACGTATTAAACATAGTAACGTAAAATAGCATTTTGTCGTGTACCTTAACTCTTTTTGCTTCTTGTGCTAAATATTCACGATCTAATTGAGTCTTTGTTTTATGCAACTCTTCTTCTAGAGATGTTACTTTGCGTTCAAGTTGTGCTTCACGTTGCGAAATTTTCTTCTCCTGAGTTTTTATCGCCATGTATCTGGAATAAGGCAAACATTAAATGTCTTTAACATAAAAAGTAACATAGAAAGTCAACGATATTTTGCTCAAAATTGATGCATAAATTTACCTGCGACTAAGTTGTTGTTTCAGATCAGTTATCTCATACTTATACATTTTTTCCTTTTCCATTAGAGACTGAAGCTGTCGACGCAAAACATCAATTTGATTTTGTTGTTGCGTTTGATCGCGATGACTATTGTGCGTGGATTCACTCATTTTCATATCTCCTCGACTATGAATTATCATTGGTTGAGATCGGTTTGCAGATTCTATTAATTCAATTTCATTCTATGCAAGATAATGTAATAAATTAAATAATTATACAATCTGATAAATTAATAAAATTTCGGTAAATTAACGAAATTATGACACACTTGTAGTTGTTGACAAGCAAGAGTTAACTCGTGTATTTTGTCATCTTTGTCTTGCAAGTCTTTCATCAAAGAAATATTTCCTTTTGTAACTAACATGCGATTTTCAGACAATTGTTGTCTAAGCGCATCGGCCTCGGATTGCCATTTATTTATTTCGCTATGATAGCTCTCTAATTCATTCTTATGTTGTTGCTCTAGCCTGCAAAAACGTAACTTGTCTATAATATAAAATCTATTTTCTATATAAATTTATTATTTTACTCAATCTCCTTTGCCTTGTAACGTTACATTAATACTGATGAATTAACGAAACCGATTAAACAAGGTTTCTACTAAGAAACAAACCTTTCTCTCATATGATCCATATGCTTCAATCTTTCTTCCGCTAATCGATGCCAACGTTCGCTCAATTCTTTACTGATATTTAATTCTGCTTCGAGAGTGGATACTTTTTCATGTAATCTTGCAATTTCTTCTTCTTGCGCAGCACTGCTTCTCGCTGTGGTTTCATCAAACGTCGATTTTCCAAAGACATCTTTTACAACCGGTTCCTCACTTTTTTGAATTTTGCCTTGCATAGCCAATATGTGATCATGCAAATTTTTAATCTCATTTTGAAAACGGCTCGCTGCCCGACTATGTTCATCTCTATCTTCTTTCAATAAATTTTGATATCTTAAAATAGTCTCTTCTTTCTGGCTAATTAACTTCTGTAAACTATTTATTGTCAATTTCAATGCCAATTTGTCAGCACAATCAGTATTTATGACGCGTGGTTGAGTCATTAACTCGTCAAGTACATTTTGATTTTGCACAAGATGCGAATCTTTTTCCTCAATCGCTTTGTTCAAATTATTCACTTTTGTTTGATACTGCACATTTTTTTCCTCAATCGCTTTGTTAAGATTGTCTATTTCTGCTTGATATTGTAGATCTTTTTCTGTCATTGCTTTGTCCAGAGTATCCACTTTTGCCTTGTATTCCGCTAATTGTGACTCACATTTAACAAGCATCATGGACCGTTCCGATGCGAGTTTCAGTGCTTGATCCAATTGCTCGTTAAGCAATACTAAACTACCATTCTCTTCTGTATTATTTCCTATTTCTCGAAATGTTTTCTCTGTAGTTTCGCTTGATTTAGTAGATTTTTGAATATCTTTAACAACTACAATTTCCTCATTATCGGTTTCTTTATCGGTTTGTTTATCGGTTTGCTTATCGATTTCTTTATCGGTTTCTTTAGTAATATTTTCTTTTTTTGATTCAAGCAGCAAGTATAAGGATCTGTTTGGACACCAACTACTTGAATTTCTGTTGCTGCTTGAATAGATTTTGACTCGAAATTTGATGTATTAACTCGTGCTTGATGTTCTTGTTGTGGACACCACGCTTTTTGAATATTTAACATATCGTGTTCCATGCTGTTTATTACTGACTCATATTCAATGAATTTACTGTTAGCAATTTGAAGTTCATGCTCCAAATGAGCTATTCTTCTTTTGTACTTAAAATCCTAATTAAAAAAAAAAACTTTTGTTAGACAAAAAAAATAAAAATTTGATAAACAACATATATATTAAGATTTTATTTTATAATTATTAAATAAAGCATAAATCAAATAAATATAGTTAAATTAAAAAAAATATAAAAACAGAAATTACATAAATTTTATGATTATAAAGAATATAAATCGTAATTTGAATATAAAAGTTTCTCAACATGTACTGCAATTTTTAATCAATTACTGCAATTTATTTAATATAATTAAATTTTATTAAAACTTATATATTGTTATCATAAAGACTTACATTTAAAGTTTGTTGTGAAATTTCCGCATAATGTTCCATTATGTTTTGAACACTGCCGGCACCAATTTGTTGCTCCAATATATCTTTTAGACGCTCCACAATTTCAAGCCGAGCAGATAAAACTTGTTGTTCATATTTAATATCATCATGACACTTTTTCGTTTTCTGCATTTCTGTATCGATATTTTGACGATCTATTTTCAATTTTGCAGCTAATGTAATTACTTTTTCTAAAGTACTTATAGAGGTTGCTCCCACATATTGGCATTGAAAAAAATATATAATATCTGTATAATACCTGTAATACACATAAATAATATCATGCTACATTTTTTGTACTGCAAATAATATGTAAATATAATTTAATATCTAAATGATTTTACTTGCAACGATTTTCACATTGTTTCCGGTAATCTTGTACATAACTACGCATTTCTTCGCATTTCTTTCTTGAGTTATCAAGTTCTTGCTGTATGTTAGACAATTCACTCTGCAGTCGCGTTTTCTGTGCTGTTAGTTCCATTTCTGATAGTTTCTTACTTGTAAGCTCGAAATCAAGTCTTGAAATAGTGGCCTTGTCTTCACTTACAGCTTGCAAATCCAATATTTGATGCCTGAGACTATCTAGTTCTAGTGTTTGCAATGAATTCAATGAATATTGCAGTTGAGCTTCCTCTTCAGACACTTGTAACATTTTTTTCAAATTTTCATTTTCTATAATAAGTTGCGTTTTTTCATTTTGCAATTCCTGTAAACGATTATCATCCATTTGTATAGTTTCCTGCAACGATATCTCTTTAGACAATTTTTTGTGTACTTCAATCAGTCTCTCTTGTAATTCAGAATTAGAAATAGAAAGTTGTTTAATATTATCTTCGCATTTTGTTAGCTGTGTTTGCGATATTTCAAGTAATCTAGTCATTTGATCAGCTCGTTGCTCTTCAATCAACTTCTTGGCCTCTATCTCTTTCAATTTTTCTAAAGTACCATTACCTCCATTAACATCTGATTTTTTTAAATCTTCAATGAGTTGATTTTTCTCTCGTTTTATTGCTTCTATTTCAGCTTTCAGAGATGACATTTCACTGGAATTAGGAGATATCATTGCAGTTTCTAATAAAGCACGATGACGTATATTCAATTCCTCATATTTCTCTTTTAATTCATTATACATTATTACGCTAATAGAATTACATAAATTATTCTGCAAGAGCGAAATTTCTGATAGCAATATTTTATTGCGTTTCTCTGCATCAATAAGGGATTTGTTAAAATCGCTCTCTTTCTTAATTATCTCTTTTTGATATTCATACAATCTATTAGTTTCTTTGTTAAGCAATCGTTGAAGACTAACATTTTTCCTGTTCATAATTGTTATTTCGTTAGCAGTATCCGCATATTCTCTCGTTTTTATCGCGAATGCTTTTTGAACTTCATCATCTCCATCTTCAAAAATTTGCCAATTTTTTTTATAAATTTCTAATTGCTTTTTAATACCGTCCATTTCATCTTTCAATTCATTATTTTCATAAATCAGCAAATCTTTCTGCTTCTCCCACTCTTCTGCTTCATTTTTATATGCCATCTGCAAAGCTTTCATTTCTGTAAGATACATTGTTATTGCTTCGTCTTCGCCATGTTTCTCGTATAATTTTTCGAAATCTATATTTTTATTCGCTGCTAAATTTTGTAATATATTATCTTTCTTTTGCAATTCCTTTCTGTAAATCCCATTATTAGACCCATTATAATAAAAATAACAATACACAGAAACTATTTAATTATTATTAAAAGATATTATTTTGAGAATCTTGAAAAATACCTCAATAATTTAAGTTGTGATCTTAACTCAGCATTGCTACCTTGTACAACATTCAGATGTTCCTGCAATCTCATAGCTGGATGATACCAACCAGCTAAATGCCTGACATCTAAAGCTTCTAATAATCGTTCCAAAGTACTAGATTGTATTTCCACTTCACTCTTACCTAAAACAAGAAATATGAGATATATGCATCTTTTCTTAAAATAATTATAAAAAATTTACAATAATAGTAATGTTAGCAATGTTTGCTATAACACACACAAGTAGAAAATATGAGAAATTAAATAAATTTAGCGGAGAATTTTATTATAATATTTTAGATTTCATCTCGCAGAAAATTAAAAAAAATAGCTAAGCAAAAGAAAATTATATGGTGTCAGAAAACGGAAATGTGTGCAATACTAAAGTACCGTTAAAGTTAGCGAAAATTCACCATCTTGATTGCGTATACTGTCCATAATTTCATGCATGCCTGTTCTAAGTGCCTCATTTTCTTCTATAAGTGCTTGAATATTTTGATTAATTTCAGATATATCAGTTTTAGAAGGTATTTGCATATTTTCTTCCACTAATTCTACTAATTTAGTCGAATGTAAAAATTGATTACTAGAATCCAAATTATCTGAAATATCTAATATCTTCTCAGACTTGTTCAATTTATATTTTAACATCCTTATCTATAAAAAATACAAATTTGTAATAAAAAAAACTCTCAAAAATATAATAAATTATATCTCAAACAAAAACTTTACTTTAAATTATCTTACATCTGATTTTAATTCTAAATTTTCCTCTACAAGACTTTTATTTTGCCGAACAAGCTCTTCCATTTTTCGTGATTCTTCTTTACGTTTTGCTACAATGCTTTTAATTGATACAGATTCATCTTCAGGGATCCCTAATTTTTCCCTATGATATGCAAAAATAATATTATATTTATTTCTTTTTAAGATATAATGTAAATTGTTTTGAAAATTTTACCTAAGAGTTAAGATCTCCATTTCTTGATACGAATTTAACATTTCTAATTTATTAATAACGTTAGCTAAATCTTCTATATGTTCATTCTTGTGATCAATTTTAATTTTTAATTCTTTTATTTCATTCAATGCTTTAGCTAAAGCTTGGTTTCCATCTTCATATTCTTTTAATGTCGATAAAACTTCGTACAACTATATAAAAATAGAAAATTATTTTTTTTTTAAATATATTTAATAAATAACTGTAGAAAAAAGATATTCAAAAATCATTGTCATTTTTACAAATTTGTTGATATGTAATCGATTCCTGATTAATTCCTAATTAATTTTGTTAAAAAAAGATAAAATAAATTTTTATTAACTTTCCAGAGTAAAATTACATAAATAAACTTAAGTAATAATAAAATATTTGATACTGAAAAATAGAAATTGTAAAGATATTTTATAAATTTTTCATATTTCCAATTACTTAAAAAAGAATATCTTTAATCTAAATAGGAAATTTATAGCTAAAATTATAATATGACATAATAATATGACATAATAATAACTCTATCAACAATTCTTTAATTAAATATAAAAATATAAATGTCTAACTTTACTACTCTGTGATTTGGCATCATCTTGTGCTTGTGACAGTGCATTTTCCAAGTTAGAGATCTTTTCATTTGCACTTTGCATTTTTTTCAATAAACTTTTTTGTTCTTTCCGCTTGCTACTTTTCGTAGATCTGTGAAAAACAAATTTATAATTTTCGAAAACAAATGATTAAAAATATTATAATATAAACAGAAAATATAAACAGAAAATATAAACTGAAAATATAAGCAGAAAATATCGCTTACTCATGTGTCTCTCCTTTCAATTTTTCTATAAGTGCAGCACTTTCATTTATTTCAACAACTGCTTCAGAAAGTTTAGCTTTCAATTCTACTATAATCGCATCCCTACATGCTATTTCATCATTTAGCTGATTAATCTGTGTTTTATTTTCTTCTTTAACTGATGTAGTAGATTGCATTAAAGAATGCGACAAATTTTCCTTCAAACGTGTTATCTCCATATCTTTCTCGTCCAATATATCCTTATGT